GGAGGTTTTGGAAGTGCATTTCGGCTTTGCTCCCTACACATGGAAACCAGACCTGCGCGAGTGGAGCCCTAGGCAGTCTGGGGATGTCTGCAGCAGTCTTGTTTTTGTAGTTGCGTGACTGAGCCGTTGCAATCATGCCCAAGCGAGTCCGCTCTCCAAAGCGAGGCCCCAAACGGAACCCTCGCAGCAAAGCGAAGATCCTATGCGCATGGAGACAGTGTACAAACAAACACGTGGACGTGAAGAATTTGCCCTATGCCCTCAGCATGGATCTCCTGGACACGAAGAAAGCGCGGGAAATGTCCAAGGTTTGCAAGAAAGCCAGATTCTGTTGTGAGGCACACCTACAGAAAGCAAAGCTGGTAGCTGCCAGAATCATGTCTGAAGTTTTTGTAGCATTTTTCAGTTAGTTGCACTTTCTCTACCATGGAACGCCTGTGCCCCTAAACTCCCATAAGTGCTCATCTGGACAGGAGTGCCCTATGGGGGGCGAGAGGCTTTGACACCAGCGCAAGTGCTGCATGTCTTCAACACGCTACTCTTCGAAGCTGCATCGGCGTGGGCTGCTGTGGCCTTCGTGTTATCTCTTTTCCTCGGTGAGAGAGCAGGGTGCGCATTGCAAGCACGCGACTCGTGGTTCGCTGGCATGGACACTAGCCAGCCTGTGGTGCGCGTCCCAAAGGTCAACGGCAAAACCAAACCACGAGAAGTCCCTCTGGATAAGGACTTTGCCTGCCTCCTCCTCGCGTGGACACAAGCTGAATCAGGACCCCTACGGGGAGGATCTGGATGCCAGTGGCCACACCCGGGGCAGAAGATTCAGCTGTTGCGCGACAAGTCAGCAAGGGGCAGCACAGGGCGACTTCTATTTCCGGGACGTCGGCTGGGTGGCAAGAACTCGAGAGTTTGGGGCCACGCCGTCAGCACCCGCGGCCTACACGACAAGTTCACAGTTGCACAGGCTGCAATGCACGAGCAGCTGGCCAAGGCAAAGGCGACAAGCAGCCCACATGTCATGCAAGACGTCATGATCGACAGAATCAGCTCGCACTCTTGCAAGAAGACTGCAGTAACTCTTTTGAAGGAGAAGGGCGTGGCGACGACGATCGTGTCCATGCTGACGGGCACTAGCTGCCGTGCGCTAGACCAAACGTACTACAAGCCCTCTAGGGAGGCCCAGCGCGCAGCTCAGGCGTCCGCGTTTAACGGTATCACTCAAGGTCTCCTTCCAGAGGCCCAAGACGAGTCGGCGCAGCCTGCGCTGGCATCATCCAGGTTTTGTGTCGCCTGTGGCCAAGCAGCTCTGGGCGATTGGAGGTTTTGCCCGCGCTGTGGCCAGGCATTTCTTCAGATCGCTTGACTTTCTTGCCGAAGCAAGCAAGGCTCATCTGTTTCACACCGGGATTCACTGCACTCAGGAAAACACGCAGCATCAGGGTGAGGGTGAGGGAGAAAACCTCTAGACCCAAACTCACTTATTTCAACCGTACAACAAGATCCTCTACCGAAAAAATGTGTCCGCCTCAGGCAGCTTCACGGCGCGGTCCTCCGGCGGAACCTCGGCAACAGGGAGTTTACCCGCTTCTGAGTAGCAATGCACTGGGAACAGTCTAGTGGGTTTTCGGGTTTTGGGGTTTAGGGGAGGTCGGGTGTAGGGCTTTGGTGTTTACAGAGACCCGAGACCTATGCCCCGTAGTGTGGGCTGTAGGGTGTAAAAGGATAGAGGGATTTTCGCGTGACTGAGTTTGACAAGCGAGACAAACCGCATAAAACCAATGCAACCTACCGCATTTGGGGGATACTTGGAGGTGCGATTCACGGATACTCCTGCATAATCGTGGATGCCTTGCGCACGACTCTAGCCCTCAACCACACTTCCTCTATCCGGAAGCCCTGAGGTTTACATTCGATTTCAACATGCGCATCGCGCTTTAGGTTCTAGGGCTTAGGGTTTAATAGGGTTTAAGGGTTTATGACGTTTAAGGATTTAGGGTTTAAGGATTTATGATGTTGAAGGATTTAGGGCTGAGCGTTTAAGGGTTTAGGGTTAAGGCCTTAGGGTTTAGGGCTTAGGGTTAAGGGCTAAGGGTGTAAAGCCTGGGACTAAGGTTTAATAGGGTTTGAGGTTTATTTTCCAGGGTTTGATTTTTTCCTTATAAAACCTGGACTAGGGTAGTTTCAGGTTGAAGTCTAGATGCTCAATTCATGAAGACTGCAAGCAAACGAATGATCCTTTTCTCATCGCCAGCGCAATGAGATCGCTTCACCCCGCCAGGTCTGCAGCGTTCAGCACCATCAACATGACACGAGCCAGCAAGTCCACAGGGATAGCATTGCCCGCGATGCCCCCCAAGATCTGTGGGCTCACAGTGTCGGTGCAGGCCTGTACTCTCTCCCACGGCACGCCTTGAAGTTGCACAAGCTCTGGGATACCTACGCGCCGATGCAACCAGGAAGCGTAGAAGCCGTCCGTGGATCTGCCCATGGCCCGAGTCAAGCAGGGACAGCGATTGAGCATATGGTGGCTCTTGAAGCCAGTCCTCAAGTTGATGATGTACTTGTCCTTGTCGGGATCGCCCCCAGCAGCCCGGATCTTTGCGCAAGATTCGCGCAGGTTCTTGCGCGCTGTGTTTGAGTGAGGCTCCGCAGAGTCAAGGCAGAGCTCCTCCAAGCTTGCTCTGGGCTTGACGAAGTCTGTAAGCGAGCGCATAGGCACCTGCGGTTTTTCAGATGTGGGTTGGGCATGGAAAAAAGGGGTAGGTTCAGGATAGAGGGCTTAGCTTCAAAACAGACTGGGGGGGTGTTTTTTTGTTGCGCCTCGGCAGGCCAAACCAGGGCACGCTTCTGACGGGCACGCTTCACACCAACGATGAACAGGCGTTCGCGGTGCTGCGGCAGTCCAGAGTGCACACTTGCATCGAGCAAACGGTACTGCACGGTGTAGAGTTTCTCCTTCCCAGCGGTCGGCGCTTCCAAGTTGGCGAGTGTCTGGAGCACATAAAGCAGGAGTTTTGGAGCAAAGGATTGCAGGCCTTTCACCTGCTCAATGATGAACGTGGTAGGTCTCTTGCGAGCAATCCACAGAACCATTTGCAGCAACAGCGCAGCGCGAGGATCATCAATTGTTCGCCTTTCTCCCTGTTGGGAGAAAGGCTGGCACGGGGGCCCTGCTGTGAACAGGTCGATGTCGCTGGGAGTGTCCTGCATGAACTCGTCCCCTAAGGCATCCTGGAAGTACTTCTCGTGTCGCCAGAGCTGCTGGGACACTGCTTGGCAATTGCGGTCTGTGTCACAAGCAAAACATGATACGTGCGCAAGTTGTAGCTTCTCAGCAGCGAAGAGCTCAGAACACCATCCTGAGCACGCGCTTCCGATGCGGAGGACCTTGGCTCCCTTCCTCCTCCTCTTCACACGATCTCCGCTGCCACTGGCCGCCTCCGACATACTAACCAGCACAGCTACGGCTTGAGCTTAACCGGGCTACACACACGGTCAGCCTGAGTTTCTGCGATGGCACATGTGCTGGGGTTCATGCTTCAGGATTCAGCGGGATCTGGATTTGGGATTCAGGGTTTAGTGTTCAGGGCTTCGGACTCATTGATTCGTGCTCCAAAGATTTCCGGGTAACAGCAGTCTTAATGGCCCTAAGCCCTAAACAATAAATTTCAGAGTTGAGGGTTCAGATGGCAGAACCCTGGGACCCTACGCAATCTCCCATGTCGGCACGTTCTCCGTGCCGCAAAACCCGAATTGTCGGAAGCTTAAACCGTCAACACATGCTTTCCCCCAGTCCAGCACTCTGAAGCAATGCTACGCGAGGCCCTACTCTGCGGCAAGTAAGCTGAGACCAGACCCGAACTTAGCGCCCGTTCGTATAGGGGTATTTGGGGCAGAAGGTCGATAGATAAAGCATTGCTGTCATGAGTAAGGCTGGGATTCCAGACTTGCCAGGTCTGGAGCAGTCCACGCAGTCTCCGCAGCCTGGCAGCAAGTTCAGCAAAAGGGGTGAGCTTCACAGAGCACCCAGACATTGCCACTCTGCAGTCATTCAGCAGAAATTTTTGCGAGTGCAGCTACGACACCATGTCGAGGACGAGGACGACGAATACTGCTAGGATTAACACTACTACTAGTACTACTACTAATACTATTACTTCACTACTACTTTATTACTTAGACCACAAATAGACCCCAAACATACCCCCAATAAACCCACCGTGGGACTACTACTACTAACTACTACTACTACTACTACTACTACGACTACGACGCAACCATCTCCAGTAGCAGTACTACGACTATTCTATCTACTACGACTAGTGTTGAACAATCATGTTGATTCTTCAGTATGGTTACCCTGACTACCATCTGCGCAGATGTCGGAAACATTGGCAACCCTTCACTGTCTTATAGCTTGCAAAGTCTTCGGGGAGCACGACTAAGCCCTTAAGCGGGTTCCAGACTTGCCAGGGCTCCAGCGGCCCATGCAGTTCACGCATTCTCCGCGGCCTGGCGGCAGGCACAGTAATTACTAGCGTTCATGTTTTGCCAGTCTGCATGGACTCGTGGGAAGCTATGACAGTACGTCGATTACTACTACGTCCTACTCCTCCTCGTTCTCCACTACTCGTATTTTTACTCGTAGTATTATTACGCTACTGCTGCCTGCCACTACTATCACTGCTGCTGCCACTGGTACTAGTATTGCGCACAAGCCTGCTTTGACAGCTTCTGGAATTGCATATGATTGTTTCGGGGCTCCGGCTAGTGGCTCCCTTCTTTGGCGCTGGATCGTACCACTGGTGAGTCTGACAACAACGGCTGAGGACTTCCTGGGGGCCTGCGCTTGGACAATCGGTGAAAACGCATTGCAAGAAGGTACCCAGACCCCAAACCCTACACCATAAACCGGTATTACCTGGCACTGACCGCCACGAAAACAAACACATGAGTGTGATTGCTAGCGCAGACCTGGACATCCCACGCAAAAGTGTGTCGTCACGCCGCCTGCCACATTTCATGTGGCAAAGTGGCAACTGAGGAGATGCAAAATGCGCAGATCGGGTCGCCACGCAGGCTGGCCACCGACTTCTGGGAAATATTATTTGGACTTGAGGGTTTAGCGCTGAACTTCATCCCTATGACAATCTCAACAATAATTTCCATACGAGTCCCTGTACTATGCTCCAAAAAACTCCTGAAATCTAACACTTCACTTCCCGCAAAAGGCATCACCAAGTTTGAAAACCTGAAGCCCGTTCGCCCATGACATCAGATAGCGCAGACTCGCATGGAAACTGATATGGAAAATGGCCTGCAACTGGGTTTATGGTCTCACACCCTGGACAAACACTGGGGTTCTAAGATACCGCAATTTCATGAAGGCCTTGCATGCGTGACCTGCGCCTGGAGAACCTGGAATGACCAAACAACCATGCTGTCATTCCACGAAATGCCACGCCCCCATCACTCTTTAAGGCTCCTCCACCTCATCGCCCGGATCAAGGCCGCCGTTGAACGCGGCCAGCTGCTGCAAGATCTGCGCCGCCTTGGCTGTGGCCTTGGGGTTTGCCTTCGCCTTGCCCTGCACATTCACGGCAGTTGACTTGGGCCTTGGCCTTGGATTTTGCCTTCTTCTTCGGTGGCTCCTCAACCTTGGGTGACTCATCACCCTTCGTCTCGTCCTTGTCCTCCTTGGCAGCTTGCTCGGCCTCTTTCATGAGCTTGCAAAGCAGGGGCTGGTACAAAGGCGAGGACTCCGTCCGGTATTCCAGGAAGAGCTGCTTCAGAATGCGGGCATCCAGGAGGTTGCGGTGAGTCTCTGTCCACACCACGCCAGCATACGCCACCTTCAATCGCAGGCACGCGATGGCGAGCGAGGCATCGCTAGCTGTGGCATCCAGGACAGCTTTCACATTCAACGCGGACAGCAACTCCTCATAGAATGTAACCGTACTGGAATGCCACGCCACAGGTTCCAGATTGGCGCCGCTGCCAAATTCCGGGCGAGGGACCTCATCGGCCCCCGGCATGGAGCCAGACGCCAAGACCTTTCCCAGAGTGCCATACAGGGCGACTTTCTGTGACCGGTCTAGCAGCCACATCTCGCTGTAGGTTGGCACGCCTACGCCTTGAATGGCTAGCCCATGCGTGGTTCCAGGGTAGTGCATGCGGTTCTTTTTCGTGACCTGAAGAGCTGAGTCTGTTGTGTAGACGAGCATCGTCTCGGAGAGGGACAGCATGCCACGCACCCTTGTCTTCCGGGCGGACACCGAGTTTTCGTCGTAGATGATATGGAAGGCGGTTTTCGTGCGGTTGTCCCAGGGATTTCCGTCAGGCTTCACCAACTGATTGAAGAACTCCTGCTCCAGCGAACGCCCTCCGTCCAGGCAGACCATGATGTCATGGTGACCAGGCTCTTCCTCGGCAGAAACTACGCTAAACGCCTGATTACAGGAAGAAACTTGTTCTCCTGTTTTGGGTTCGTGGCCTTAGGGCTCGGATTTTGGCGAGCCTGCTTCTGCACTGGTCAGGGTGACCCACTCCTGGGCATGGCCCCTAAATAACATCAAGCCGTTGTGTTGCAGGCTTGAGCGGCTGATTTTTTGGGGCGGGGCTTAGAGTTCAGTCTGTCAGGGTTTGCGGCACGTTGTCCGTGCCGGCAGGGCAAGCAGAAAAAGACGCAACAGAGACAGACAGGAGAGAGAGAGAGAGAGGTGAAGAGACAGACACAGCAAGTTCATGAGCAGTCCCAGGAGCATCATCTTGGCAGCCACGTGCCTTGCAGAAAGCTTGAACCATGAGCTTCAAGCGTGACCTGTCGAGGCTCGGCTGCCGTACATGAGGATGCACGGAGCATTGACCCTGAGTTTTTGCATCGTAAATCAAGGCAACCTTGCTCTCAGCAGACGAGGCGAAGCTTCCGATGACTGTGGGTTGCAGCAGCGAGGCTAGGGTCGTAGCACTGTCTGGCTGAACGACCAGGCGAATGAATTTCTCCTTGTGCTCCTGGGCATGGTCGGCCCAAGACTGGAGCTCCTCACCGTGGGTCAGCGACACGCTGTCCGTGATGTCCAAGTCCACAAGCTGGCATAGGCCCGATGGCTCGGCGAAGTCCGCCCCGCTGTCCAGGATAGGGCGTGCTGCACCATGGGGTGGCTCAGCCACCTCGTCGACAATTTCCTGCAACATGGCCTTGTAGGGCTCGTGCTGCATAATTTCGGAGACCTTGCTCGTCGCCTTGAGCGCGGCCTTGAGCTGCTTATCACAGGTATTGTTGAAGCAAGCCGCTGCGATGAAGGCGTATGCTTTGCGGCACTCTTCTGGCAGGACTCCTTGCCATGTCAAGTCGGCCTTGAGCCGCCCTCCTCCGCAGTGGCTGCGATAGACCTGGTGAGTCTGGGTCTTTACCTTCACGTCGGCGAGGAACTCAGGGCCACAGACACATCTGAGCTAGAATTTACAGCCGCGCCCGAAGAATCCTAAGAACTAACATGTTGCTCACGGTGCATGCAACTCAACACAACCTGATCTGTTTTCCGCGCAAGTCCTCCGGAGTGAACTTGTTCTGCGGAAGGAAATTGCCCAGGAATTCCTCAAGCAGGTTCTTCTTGCCAATGAGGACATCCAAGTGCCCCAGGCCCTTGCCCACACCGGGGGACAGATGGGCAGCCGAGAAGTCGTTTGTGGAAGCGACACCCGTGCGGATCATGTCGTCGATGCCATTCAAAAGCCACAGGCCCACAGCGCTGTCGCCCTGAACCTTCCTAGCCAGGGTCGTCAGGGCATCCATGTTGTTGAAGGGATTCTTCTTCCCGTGAAGCTCCTCCAAGTCGTAGAGGCGCTGCCTTACGGGCTGCAGTGCCAGCACGCCATCCCAGAGCCGTGTGGATTTGTCAATGAACGTTGACGACACATCCTCGGAGAGTTTGGAGGAACTTTTTTTGAAGTTCTTCGTCCAGTGCCGGGCACACTCTGCGGCACTCATTAGCGCGCCCGGCGGGGAGTGCTTGCTCCGATACGTGACCACCTGCATGATTCGCTGCAGCACCGTGGTCGCCAGAGTCTCGAAGAGTGACACAAATCGTTCGCGGGCATTGATGCAACTCCATGTAATCTCCTCCGGGCTGTCCTTGAACACAAACCTCGGCGCAACAGCTTGCCAGCCACCCTCCCCCCTACACCCGAGATCTAGGTCTGCACTCAGCCAACTATTGGTGGCCCAGTTGCTCCATGGAGGCAGTCAAAGTCACGTCCTTCCAGCGCCTAGGGATGACACTGATGACACTGCCTGGCTACACTGTTTAAGTATAATGCCACTAGTGACAGCAACCGGGGAGCAGGCTGCAGGCGGTCCTCTGGCACGCCTGCGTCCACGTCCGCAGCAATTGCCGAGAACAAGCTCATGTCCACTTCGGGACATGACATCCTCTGCATATTTCCAC